TTGTCCCAGGGCTTTCACAGGGGAGGCTCTGCCGATCAAGGTGTGCCCTGGTGCACTTCCAGGGATTTCTGCTTTCCCAGCCTCCCGGGGGCTGCTGGAGGCTGCCCTGCGGGGCCGGGGATCTGCCCTGGAAGATGGGGCTCAGCGTGAGGCCGTGGTCTGGGGTCAGGTTTTCTTGGTTCTGCGCAGACTCTCTGGGAGCATCCCCTGCTTTAGCTTCCCTTTTGGTAGGAAACGAGTCCCTGCGGGACTTGGGAATTGTTACGGGCGGGAGGACGTCGAGGTTTTGTTTTGGCAAAGGGATCGTGGAGGTTCTGGGGATGAGCTTGCCAGTGCTGCCCTGTGTGTGGACCCCCAAAGGAGCCCTGCCCGCGCTGCCTGACTCGGCCCCCGCTGTTGTGCCTTTGCAGTGAGCAGCGGCTCTGTCACGGTCCACGCGGACTCCACCGTGCAGGTGCTGGCGGAGGAGGCGGTGACGATGGACATGCTGGATCTGGCTGTGAGTACCCCGGTCCCCGTGGGCCGGGCTGCGCCCTGCCTCCCTCAGGCAGGCCCTGGCAGCCGGGCTCCCTCGTGGAGGGAGGTTTGCTCCCCGCTTCGCTCTCGCGGGGTGGTTGTCTCAGGAGCTTCCTGTGGCTGCGGAAAGCGTGCCCAGACCAGGGGCTGTGCCTTCACCCCGAGCTTCCCCGTCGCCCGCTGATCGGGATCAAAGGCTCGGAGCTCCTTCTCAGTGAACTCTCCACAGGCTGTGGGGAGAGGAAGCCACGCCGTCGTTAGCCCTTCTCCGGGCCACTTCCCTCCCCTCGGACAGATGCTGATCTTGCCCCTTCCCACCCCTCTGAGTCTCAGGAACAGCTTTTCCCCATTAAGGCCTGTTGATAAGGCGTCTGCTGCCAACGCAGCCGTGTAAGCGGGTCTGTGGGGCCCCGTGCACGGGGCCAACGACTGCAGTGAAGGGAGGGGTGGGGAGGAGTGACTCAAGGGCTGTAGGACAAGTCACCTGTCCTGCGGTGGTCTCTTGATGACACGTTCCTCGTGCTCTCAGGTTCAGACTGCAAAATCAAATCTGGAGAAGGCTGTTTCGGAGATGGCTGCAGCATCCCATGAAGCAGCTAAAGCAGAAGCTCAGATTAAAGTAGAAGCTAACGAAGCCCTTGTAAAAGCCCTGGAGTAATTAAGGTAAGTGTCACCTATATCCTGGCTGAGATTTCCAGACCTGCTCTGGAGACGAGTCCCTGCTCCGTGCTGCCCGTAGGGAGCTTCCTCTCACAGCAGCCAGGCCTGCTGGCCTGCGCTGGGCTGCACAGGGCTTTGTGCCTGGGTTTCAGGGAGCGGTGACACGAGAGCTGTCCCTTTCCGTGGCCGGGCGTCAGCTCTGGGGG